CCAGCTTGCCAATAATTTCGTGCTTGTTATGCTTATTTAATGGCATTTGGGACTGATAAATAGATTTATTCGAGGTAGCTCAATTAACCAAAGTCACTTAATCAGAATGACCTGGACATGGCACGAATATTTAACATTTAATTTTTTATGTCCCAGAAATGAGTGTGGAAAATTGAACTTAATCCTTCTAACAAATCTTTTTTAGGCTTTGTTTTAAAAGTGCAGACGAGAGAGTTTAAACAATTTAAATCATCTACGTCTGCGCATTTCAAAGCTACCTTTCTCTTATTTGTAAATGGCTGCTAGGTCATAGAGGGTTAATTTCAATGGCACATTGGATAAAGTATCCATGGGAAATATTTCCATAGAACCTCGTTCAGCTCCAATGACATTTTATGGCCCTTTAAAAAAACACTCATACGTGAAGGTTCCAATTTAATTGTCTGCTCTGTAAACGGTTACATCAACCTGGCTATTGTTAGGGAAGGGCGGATGGAAGGCTCTGAGCCTTCAGTTAGAAGTTGTAGATTTCCCCAGTAGATTGTCGCCGGAATCTTTACACGATAATAAAGCTTAAGTGCAATTAGTTGCCACTTTTGCCGGGGCCAGCGCAGTTGCAAAATGCGATGTAATTATTTCTGCATTAACTACACTGAATTTTCGAAATGCCATAGCTTAGCAACGGGCAATTACCTCAAATCTCTGCTTGGAATTCATTCTCAGATTTTGCGAAATTACCAACTCGACCGAGGTGCTTGCTGGATTTCAGTCGTATTTCTTATTTATACCTTCGGATGATATATCGCTTGCAAGTTACGTTTTCAGGGACTTGCCAACATCTCACTCAGTGAATACGGTCGTCAGCGAACAGTCCTTGGATGTCCTAATCCGACGACACAGTGAGAAGTGTGATGGCGATGGTGACACGGTTGTCCAAATTCAAGGTCTGACTTTCAACATTAGCTAACTAATAGGTTACATACAGGGTTAATTTGCGCATACCACCATCGAGGCAGACGACCCATGGCGGCAACACTTTGACATCCAACGCGGATTCAGATCTTTGGTCAGCTCTCAGGCATCTAAAGGCTAGGTTGAGACCAACTGTCCCTTAATTACACGCGGCCATCACTCAGTTTTAATTTTCTGCTCCTGTTGGCGTCTCTTTGTCGTCCAGGTAGTTCTACGGTAGCTGCGCAGGGAGACGCAGATTGCGATGGAGCATCCCAGCATCCGCCATATATTTACCCCTCCGTTGACCTCGGATGTCCACCAGGGCCGCCGCCCCCTCTGGCCCCTAGGATTCCCTCCTTTTCTTCTAACTACATCGGTTTCCCCTCCGCCGAACACCACCTCCGTGCCTATCAAGCGGTACGCGCCGAGGTAGCTCCCTTGAGACCGTCCGTGGAAGGGGCTTTTGACCATACACTGCCCGTGCACACACCGCAACAAACGGTCTCCCTTCTTCGGATGGCCGCTAGGTCGACCTTTGATCCCCCAGTGGCAAGACAACGTGCCGCTGCAAACAACGATGAAAGGACGTATATTATTGGGTCCTACACAGCTGAGGCCTCAACCATGCTCGATCTTGCACTGTTGCCTAGCCTCAGCAGGGCGGACCCAAATTGCTCCACCCCCGTGGAAGTGGATATGACCCTCTCCACCACCGAACCTTCCACGGGGGCAGTATTTTCTCCGTTGGAGGAGAAAATTGAATGGGAAACTGACGCACGGAGGTAATTAGTAGTTTTGTGTTTACTTTCTTGTTACGCAATATGCAGTGCAAAAGACCGTTTAAGCAGAAGTAAACGAAGAAGCGATTTGTGTCTCCGAGACCTGCATGGACGCCCACAGTCAACCTTTGTGGTAAAGTCTTTGAAGAAAGGACTAAAGTTTCAGGAATAGGCGTACTTACGGAACCGGAGCTAAGCCAGCGCCAAGATTAGTATGTCTAGACAATAGTTTGAGTGGCTGTTCACTACGTCTTCGCAACCTAGTTGTTGACCTATATTTTTATGCAATTTTGGAGGGCTCCCTACGTCTTTTTATGTTTCTCATTTTAGCGAAGTGCTCATGACACCAGGTCTCCGCAAAAGGCACGCGAAACTGGTCACACAAGCAGCAAATGTGCGGCATGAACTTAGCACAGTGGAGACCTGTCTATGCTATGCACAACGCCAAGCTTACCCACCAATTCACGGAGGAGGGAGTCCATGTAAGAGATCTCCTCTTAGACTAATTATGATTTTCTTTCTGACTGCTTATCGATTTTTGACACAAAACTCTCGATGCTCTGTTGCCGAACGCGCTTTGTTAATTTCTTCTAAGATGGTACTTAAAACCTTTTTTTGCAGATGCCTTGGAGTCATCTGCGTCGGTTTCTAAGGCGAGAGCAGCCTGTACAGAAACTGTTGAAGTCTGTGTGGACTATAATTTGGATGAGTCCCTGCTAACTCAAAGTCATTACCGGGTACGTTATTCATATTATGTTGATCGTGAGATGCATTGTACTTGTGAGTGGTCGTTTGTTGCCGCATCCGCCCTCATTAACCTATAATCTGCTCTTTTAGAGCCAGTATAGGTTGTCCCGGGTCCTGCGGCGAATTTGGCACCGCGTATGCTGTTGCATTCGCCCGGAAACCGACTGAATGGGAAAAGTTTTTCTTCGGAATTGCCGAACTGAGGAACCGAATAAAATTGAGGAGGCAACTCGGAGGTTAACGGAGGGGTAAACGTGGAGATGAGCCGTCGCTGGGTGCATCTCCCTGCTCAGCTACCGTAGAACTACCGGAAGGAGATCAAATGCTTGGTCCCAACCTTTCTTTAATGTATATTAGTAAATAGTGTTTACCAGTAAAGTAATGTTAATCTAACTGAATTCTCTTGCCGTTTCTTGTGTGCTATGTGGATGGGGTGGGGGGGGGGATGTGAGGTCATTAGATATACAATGCGTATTCGGATGAAACCAATCAATGAACAACAGTGCGGGCTTGTATAGCATAGGTATTGAACGGAAGGAAAATAATGATAAAGGATAGAAATAAATTAGCTTGGAATATGTCTATCATTGATCTGTCTGAAACTAGGACGCGTGTACCCTACGAATTATGGGCGCTTTAGGAGCAGTTCAGTATGTAAACCATTCTCGATTTGCCATATGGCGGCTGTCTATTTCGAGATTTCTTTGCTTTATTCTTTGTTAAAATGGCAGGGTTTACTCAATTTTCGCTGAGGTGCCGCCGGAGGCTGCTGGCTGAGTGCGGTGATTCATTTTGGTAGTGCTGTGTATAACAACGGGAATGAGAAGTATGTATTACATATTGAATCCGATTCGATTTACAACGGACCCTTTTTTAAAATAATTTTCAAATACGGTGAACTGAGAGGGAGGCAGTGAAAATATTGACTCCTAGAAAGTAAGTGGGAAAAAATGCTCAGATAGGTAGTTAGATTAATATGATTTGGTATGATGCAGTGAGATGGAATCGTGGTGTTTAGGGTTCGCAACGACATAGATTGTTTGCAACGACAAAATATCGGTGAAACACGCGCGCTGTCATATACTACTGAATGTTTGTTGGTAGTTCGTGACTAATAAAACATTATTCCGCAGTAGCTGATCTCTTTCAGCTCACATCTTCAAACCAGTTTTCGAAGCGCTCAAAGGAGGATTTGTTCCGAAAAATTACACAAAGTCCACAGAGTAATTTCCGGGAAAGTTAATTAAGACTTAATGGCAGGCTGCAGTGGTTCCTTTTTGCTTTGGCCTTTGTGATACTCCCACGTATGCGAGATCCAAGACTCTCCACATGAAGCCTGATAAGTGTGGATTCCAAGGAGGAACCGTATGTGGAAATGCAGACGAGCCGTGTAAGATTTGCAACCATCAAACTCACGTACACGCACGAGCACCTGCCTTTGTGTTCTAGGTGGGGTTTTGATGAAGAGGATAAGAGGGCGTAAGGTAGAAGCGGAGGAAGCCAGAAGTAGTATGAATAAATACAAACGCAAACTTCCCAAATGTCTATCCTCGATACGTGGGAGAGTCAAATAGCGACCTTCCCATATGCCCAAAAAACGGAGCACGACGCCCGTGCAATCAAAGAAAAAGTTGGCAACACTTAGAGTTATCGCACGCTTTACTCTGTCTATGCTGAGTTTTTTAAAGTACTAGACGCGTGAGCGCACATGACTCAAGTTATATGTACAGTGGCCTATCTCACGTCAGTCATCAGAGTAAATCTCATCAACAGTAACATGGCAGGTTTGCAGAGGCAACTTTCTTAGTTACTCAACCCCCGGCCCCGCCGACCTCACAAGTCGCATCACCAGTTGAATAGTTGGGCGTTTTACTAGCTGAAGAAACAAGTCATTCGGAGCGAATGTCACACTAAACTGGCGCTGTGATCTTTGGAACAAAAAGGCCGTGCTCAGTTAAAACCACCTTACACAGAATTCGAGACCAGAACTTATGTGTTTGTGTGTGACATTTCACGCATCGGCCGGTCGGTCACTCTGGATTCCACCGCACAGAGACTGGTGAACCAGTGCCTGGGGCTCCGACATAAAGTCGCCACCCCTGTTTTCCCTGTCCACACTGGGTACGCATATTCGAAAATTGGCTGTGCCTATTAAGTCACATGCATCTCCACGTAAACCTGCGGTAGAATGTCATCAGCTACACTACCCCGGTATACCCCTCCTCACCAGCTCAAACATCACACGTGGTCACGTCAACATTACATCACATAAGGTGTGCTGCTTAACCACCCCCCACCCCAGTGAAAGGTATGGTAGATCATCGGTTCCTTTTGTATGCGAACCTTCGGCTCCGTGTGTGCTCGTAGTCTGCAACTGTATCGATTTACTAGAAGTCATAGCTTGGAGCTCTAACACATGATTCTTTACCAGACCATATCATCAGCCCAGTGTGCTGGGTGTTCGGCGGCTGATCTCTGTATGGGGAGTCAGGCGGTGTTCTACGAGGTGGCGGGATTTTCACAGCACGCCACGCTATACGCAGGCAAAACGACACTAGATAACAGGCCTGTCACACGGTTATAGTACAGCACTGTATGCACTCTACGGTGATATAGGCAGGAGCAGTTGAAAGGGGGTGGGGGGCCACCGCTTCAAGAACGGCCGTACCCCGAACAGTGCACATTAGCTTTCGTGCTCCCTTAAACCAACGTGAGATAGGCTGGGGTTGCTAAATGGAGGAGGCACCGACTCCACGGTAAATTAGGCATAGGGGTTAAGGCGAACTTAAGTCAGCAATGTAACTCTATGTGATAGCATAGGTCACTAATATTTGCAAATTTGACTTTAGGCATGTCCGTAAGTATGTGAGTGAATGTGTACACACTATGCTGTGTGAACTTTAAGCACTAAGAGCTATACATTTTCTCATTGACTTTCGATATCCGTCTAAATCGAAGTTCATTTAAGAAAACATACACTAGAAAATTCTCTTTTGTATTCTTTTGTTCAAAATATCTACCTGAGGAAGGGGTACCTTTTAGAGCTCGAAAGGCCTTTACCCTTGAGCCTTTTAAGACTAAGATTTATCCACGCGTAAAACATTGTATCTTTTCATTTTGTAATGCCGCCCATAAGTTACATAAAATGGTTATAATTCACTGTAAAATTCTATAAGCCTTCTAGGACACCTTTTTATTGGCTCATAAAAATGGATGATTTTAAACACGCGGGAAATATACAGCTTGTCCCTTTACGACCTTGAATGCAGAGTGAACACCAGGCCGCGTAAACAGTCTTTGGAGAATAAAAGAGCTTCTTAAAAATCTGATGATACCCTTTCGGTGAGAATGACTTGCAGGGCCATCTGCACAGTACACGGGATTAGGAAACACCCGTAATACATGTCGCATTGTGCCAAATTCCGGAAAAATTAGATCTACGACTAAGGTGAGGATTCGTTATAAGTGTGGAAACAAAGTTACAGGTGGACTTAGGGTAAGGATTTCGTTAAAACTTAAGGTTCGGGTTCGCGTTACTGTAGGGTTGGAGCTTGTGTTAGGTTTATGGTCAAGGGTAAAGTTACAGTTTAGGTTCATATTTGGGTTAGTGTTAGAGTTAATTGACGCAAATATCTACCCTCTTTGAAAATTATCGCAATGCCAACTGTGTTGAGTGGACGGAGTGTTTCCTGTTCCCGTGCACAAACGGCCATACGAGTCGTCCTCACTAGCCTATCTAAAAGCTCAAAATTTGCAGCAAACCTAATTTGCTTCCAAATGAGTATAAGGAGCAGCTTTTTAAAAATGTATGGATTTATATGGAAATGTAAAATCAATGGGAAAGGTTAGAGTCTAGTTATAGGAGCCAGTCGGAAAGCAGTTTCTTCGAAAGCCGCCTGCGACGTCCTATCGGAGATGTGGCCCTGGGATAGGACCGCATGCGTGATTATTACAATCCTACTCAAGTATTCATTGCTGTCATCGAAAGCACATTTTCAGTGATTCAGTTCACGTTCTTTGAGATGGCATCACTAGGTCCACAGCGGTGTCCCTTCATCCATTTGAACGAAGTGAGTGCGGAACATGAGTGCAGTGCATGAGGCATGCAAGTCAGCGGTGCGCTTTCGCAAAGGCAGTGAAATATGTCTGTAGCGAAGATCGACCTACCACATCTGGGT